TGCGGGCCCGGGTGCGCGGTGCGTCCGGCGGGCTGGGGCTTGGCGCTTCCCTGCTGTGCCCCGTGGGGCTGTCAGTGCCACTCGCTCCAGGGTCTACGCGGGGCCAAGCACCAAAGGGCTTTGCTCTGTCGGAGCTTTTCTTGGTAGTGCCTCTGAGCATGGCTCCGACTCCTGAATGTCCGCCAGAGCCCTGCCTTCCCCTCTGCGCCCCTGCCTTGTCCCCCTGCCCTTGCTGCACCTCCGTCCCTTCCAGCGAAGCACCGGCTGATTCCAGGGGCCTCTTGTGTCCATGAGAGGTGCAGGGCTTGAAAGTCGGCTTTGCAGGGGGCCAGCTGTCCGAGGCCGGCTCCATGCTCTTATTCCTGTGGATTGCACCTTCTTCGTCTGACCTGCTGGCCTCCAGGAGAGCCGGACCATTTCTCGAGTCCACCGTCCCTGCTGGAGGGGCTCTCCTGGAGAGAGAAACTTCCCCGCTATGCGCCACGCTGTCCGACGTCTCCTTCCTTTCCGCAGCATCATGGGGCTTTGGCCCTCGCGTTAGTTCATCGGTGTCTGGTGTCGGGACATAGCTGGGGGCAGAACTGCCATTGTGGCCCAGAACTCTTCTTCCTGGGAGGCTTGTCCCACTGGTACGCTTGTCGGGTGCTAGCCTCATGCCACTTGCTGCAGCCAAGCGCCGCTCTGCACCTGAAAGGCCCGGATCATCAGCAGGTTCATCCAGCCCTAACTGGGCGACACTCCTGGTCTCGTGGGCCAGGGGACGGTTTTCTGCAAGCCCCCGATCTGCTCTGTCTGAGGGTGCAATGTTAGTCTTACCGAGGGAAGGGTGTTCCTGATGTGGGAGAGGGGCCCTTTGAATTTCTGTGTCATTTGAAGACTTCTCTGCAAAGGACACGTCTCCGTCTGCCGCCGGCACGTTCTCGTGGGGCACGGCGCCGGGCGCCGGGCTAATTCGCGTCCCCTCTTGAGACGCTCCGGAAAGGCCTAGTGACGCCTCTTCTTGAAGCTTGGTGCCATTTTCTAGCCTCATGTCTAGTTGCCCTGGTGCACTGCTGCTTTTAAGAAATGCTTCCCCGTTGTTCCCATGGGCGACGGCACGCCCGCTTGTGCTCTCTGCTGCCTGGCCCCGTGGCGCGGAAGCACTAGCCCCTTTCAGGAAAGGGCGGTCCTTAGCCGACGCCAGTGGCTTGTGTGGCCTTGAAGATGTGACATTCGGCTCCAGCGGCTTTTCCTCGCCCTCTAGCGCAGCCCTTTTCTGAACCCCGGGATCACGCCTGGAGTCCTGGGCTTGCAGTGGCCTCTCGTTCCCTGCAGGGCCAGTGTCGCTAGCCCTGAAGAAAAGCTCCTGAGGGCCCAGTGCATGCACCGTCTCTTCTGATTGTGCCGAAGTAACATTCCCTTGAAGAAACTCTTCCAAGTGGGCGAACGGAGCAGTTGGTTGCAACGTCCCGTTCTCGGCTGGCGCCTGCAGCTCTGCGCCCCCTTTGGCCGTCTCTGTGGCACGGCTTGGCCTGCGCTTTCCGAAGAAGAGAGACTCTCCTGGAGATGAGCCAGCTGCTGCTGAACTTGCATTGTGAGGGGCCACGTCACTGGAGCTTGGTGACTTCCCTTCAGCTGGAGGGTGTCCAAGTCCCTGGCCAGGGCGAATCATTTCTGACAACCCTTCTTCTGAGGAGTCGGAGTCATAAGCTACTGGCTCAAAGTCAGTCTCGGCTTGAGAGGGCAGGGAAGGGCCGTGGGGAGCGGAGAGCCCAGTTCCTCAGGCTGGCTTGAAGGCTGTGGTTGAACCCGAGCGGCTGGCTGGCTTTTCTCAAGCAGGGTGTCAGCTGGGCACTGGGCATCTCTGTTTCCTTTTGGGAAGAAGTGACATTACAGCCCTTTCCCACATTCGCCCTGCGTCCTCTCTTCCCCCCGGAGAAGCCCCTAGGTTGAGGGCCGTTGCCCTCCCATGCCACGTAATCCGGTCCCAAGTCATAGTCCTCCCCGTAGGAATAGAGCTCGGGGTCAGTGCTGCACTTAGAGACTGTGAACTTTGCCCGCATTCCTCTCTCTCTGCAGTCAGGGCTCAGGCATCCCAGAGTCCACACACCTACCGCCCGACACACCTGGCAAACAAGAGGAGTCGCCCTCCCCCCTCAGCACGCTAAGCCACTGGCATCTTCTGTCCACCGAAATCCATCCCACCCTGCATTCTCCACTCATGCAGCGCTCCAGGGGCTGCAACAGCTCTGCCAGCGCTTAGAATGAACCTGGAATTGCTTTAACGAACCGAATGCCTCCTTGGTCCCCCCCCTTTTGCCTGCTACGTCCCCACACTGGCTTCCGTGAAGTGATGGCTGCAGCTTGGGGAGTACGATCCAGCAGCCAGAGGGATTCCAGACTCAGCCCAGCCGAGGCCTGGCTGGTGCTGGCAGATACTCTGTGCTGGTTCTGTGCTACATTGGCCGTGGGGATGGACTCTGAGGCCAGTAATGTGAGTTCACAAAGCAGCAACAGATTCTCCATCGCTGGCCATTTTTAAATCACCAGCTGTTTTGTGAAGGATTCGCTCTAGTTCCAAGAGGGCCGTGCTGGGGCAGACGGTCCGATCTGGCCGTGGAGCCTATGACCCTATGGGGAGAATGTTTTCTGCAGGCGCTGGTCTCCCCAGCCCCAGCCCCCATTTCTCTCCTGTTCAAGGTAAAAGAAACCAAAGCCCCCCCCCCCATTCCTTCCTGCCCAGGCATCACAATAATCATCCAGAGTTAGATACGTCTCCCTGGGAACTGCTGATTTCTGGGTTCCCTCGACCCCCCTCCGCTGGAGAGCACAGGGCCTTCTGCTGCCTCAGGGCCAGCCTGGTGCCTTTTCCCCATTCTCTATCCACTTACATACAATTGTGCCAGCTTCTCATTCTCCCCAGGGTGGGCAAAGGGTCAAGGGTAAAGCCACAAGCACAACTCTGAGTGGCCCATGCAGCTATTTCAAATCAGACACAGGAGACAACGCCAGGGAAGTGGCATCGATTGGGCAGCATGCTGGCATCACGTCTGAGCCGACGCCCACTAGATCCCTGTGCGGCTGGGAGCGGCTGAGCCCGTGACGGCGACAGGCAGACGAGGGATGAGGAACAAGGGCCAGCAGGGGAGTTGTGAGCTTAGATGACCGAGTTAAATCTGTGGGCTGGGATCTGGCTAGTTGCCAGAGGATGTGGACACTGGATTAGCCTTCCCGCCAGCAGAACCTGGGCACACAGCCCTGGGCGCGGCTTTGGCACCCAAGGGGTATTCTAGTTCCTACACTCAAGCTGCTGTGGCTTGTTTTAATAGCTCAGCAGACATGCTGCCGGACGCGCTGCTGATTTCTGGGTTCCCACGCTGCCAGACGGGCGGCTGATTTCTGTGTTCCCACGCTGCCGGACGCGCTGCTGATTTCTGGGTTCCCACCCTGCCGGACATGCGGCTGATTTCTAGGTTCCCACGCTGCCGGACGCGCTGCTGATTTCTGGGTTCCCACGCTGCCAGATGGGCGGCTGATTTCTGGGTTCCCATGCTGCCGGATGCACTGCTGATTTCTGGGTTCCCATGCTGCCGGATGCACTGCTGATTTCTGGGTTCCCATGCTGCCGGATGCACTGCTGATTTCTGGGTTCCCATGCTGCCGGATGCACTGCTGATTTCTGGGTTCCCATGCTGCCGGATGCACTGCTGATTTCTGGGTTCCCATGCTGCCGGATGCACTGCTGATTTCTGGGTTCCCATGCTGCCGGATGCACTGCTGATTTCTGGGTTCCCATGCTGCCGGATGCACTGCTGATTTCTGGGTTCCCATGCTGCCGGATGCACTGCTGATTTCTGGGTTCCCATGCTGCCGGATGCACTGCTGATTTCTGGGTTCCCATGCTGCCGGATGCACTGCTGATTTCTGGATTCCCACGCTGCTGGACATGCGGATGATTTCTAGGTTCCCACGCTGCCGGACGGGCGGCTGATTTCTAGGTTCCCACGCTGCCGGACGGGCGGCTGATTTCTAGGTTCCCACGCTGCCGGACGGGCGGCTGATTTCTAGGTTCCCACGCTGCCGGACGGGCGGCTGATTTCTAGGTTCCCACGCTGCCGGACGGGCGGCTGATTTCTAGGTTCCCACGCTGCCGGACGGGCGGCTGATTTCTAGGTTCCCACGCTGCCGGACGGGCGGCTGATTTCTAGGTTCCCACGCTGCCGGACGGGCGGCTGATTTCTAGGTTCCCACGCTGCCGGACGGGCGGCTGATTTCTAGGTTCCCACGCTGCCGGACGGGCGGCTGATTTCTAGGTTCCCACGCTGCCGGACGGGCGGCTGATTTCTAGGTTCCCACGCTGCCGGACGGGCGGCTGATTTCTAGGTTCCCACGCTGCCGGACGGGCGGCTGATTTCTAGGTTCCCACGCTGCCGGACGGGCGGCTGATTTCTAGGTTCCCACGCTGCCGGACGGGCGGCTGATTTCTAGGTTCCCACGCTGCCGGACGGGCGGCTGATTTCTAGGTTCCCACGCTGCCGGACGGGCGGCTGATTTCTAGGTTCCCACGCTGCCGGACGGGCGGCTGATTTCTAGGTTCCCACGCTGCCGGACGGGCGGCTGATTTCTAGGTTCCCACGCTGCCGGACGGGCGGCTGATTTCTAGGTTCCCACGCTGCCGGACGGGCGGCTGATTTCTAGGTTCCCACGCTGCCGGACGGGCGGCTGATTTCTAGGTTCCCACGCTGCCGGACGGGCGGCTGATTTCTGGGTTCCCACGCTGCCGGACGGGTGGCTGATTTCTAGGTACCCACGCTGCCAGATGGGCGGCTGATTTCTAGGTTCCCACGCTGCCAGATGGGCGGCTGATTTCTAGGTTCCCACGCTGCCAGATGGGCGGCTGATTTCTAGGTTCCCACGCTGCCAGATGGGCGGCTGATTTCTAGGTTCCCACGCTGCCAGATGGGCGGCTGATTTCTAGGTTCCCACGCTGCCAGATGGGCGGCTGATTTCTAGGTTCCCACGCTGCCAGATGGGCGGCTGATTTCTAGGTTCCCACGCTGCCAGATGGGCGGCTGATTTCTAGGTTCCCACGCTGCCAGATGGGCGGCTGATTTCTAGGTTCCCACGCTGCCAGATGGGCGGCTGATTTCTAGGTTCCCACGCTGCCAGATGGGCGGCTGATTTCTAGGTTCCCACGCTGCCAGATGGGCGGCTGATTTCTAGGTTCCCACGCTGCCAGATGGGCGGCTGATTTCTAGGTTCCCACGCTGCCAGATGGGCGGCTGATTTCTAGGTTCCCACGCTGCCAGATGGGCGGCTGATTTCTAGGTTCCCACGCTGCCAGATGGGCTGGACTGGAGGCTGATTTCTGGGTTCCTACGCTGCCAGACGGGCGGCTGATTTCTGGGTTCCCACGCTGCCGGACGGGCGGCTAATTTCTGGGTTCCCACGCTGCCGGACGGGCGGCTAATTTCTGGGTTCCCACGCTGCCGGACGGGCGGCTAATTTCTGGGTTCCCACGCTGCCGGACGGGCGGCTAATTTCTGGGTTCCCACGCTGCCGGACGGGCGGCTGATTTCTGGGTTCCCACGCTGCCGGACGGGTGGCTGATTTCTGGGTTCCCACGCTGCCGGATGGGCTGCGCCCCACCCGGTCTTTTGTCGGAATGACAAAAGGTTTGCAGCGGGGGGAGGGTTGCGAGATAAGGGCGTTTGTGGCACTCCGGAAAGGGGGAAGCAGAGAGCGGCCGAACACGTGGTTGTGGCTTTCCAAAGCTTTTGGGAATAACCGATCAGCTTCTGCTCCTGGCACCTGAATGCAGCCCTCTGAGAATTACTGCCGAAGTCCTGGCTCAAAACCAAACAAGTTTAAAAGTTGCACCAACTTCAGAGTGGGAGTTTTTAGAGGGGTAACGTTACAATGACAGTCAATCTCTCGGCTCACTTCCCGCCAGTCGGGAGTGCCCAGACCTGCCTGTCCCGTTGTATTTCTCAGCGCTGCACTGGTGTTTCTCTGGAAGGTTTCAGAGACGGCCCAAGCACGGACCTCGGCTCAAACACCGGCAGGGTGTGAGTGTGGACAGCAGACACAACACCAGATCTGACTCTTCCTCATCTCTGCACTGGCACCAGGCCAGCGAGGCTGATTCTTCACAGCTGCTTTCAACCATGAGCCACTCCCACAGGAGCTGCCCCCAGTCTGTTCTGGCAATGGAACTAGGGAGCTGGCTGGGGAGGGTGAACCCAGGCAGGCCTGAAAGGACCACTCACTTGCTCATGCCGTTGTAGGGCTGAGCTCTGATGAGTTACTCTCTTGCTCTTAATACAGCTGGTTATTTGTCAAGCGGGTCCCTCCAGTTCCTGCACTAACCTGCTCTGCCGAGCGCGCGGGCCTGCCTCTGTGGGCGCACACTGCACAGCAGCCAGGCGCAGCGATTTTAACCGCTCTGGTTACTCACCTGGCTTCTCTATGTAGGTGTAGACGGTTTCCCCCGAAAGCGGGAAGAGGGTGAGCGTGTCCTCAAAGACCAGGTTGCGTTTGAAGGTGTTTCCGGAGAAGAGCACAGACAGGAAGTCTGTCTGGGCCCCGACGCTCAGGACGTACCAGTACACCACTTGCTGCAGGCAGAGTCTCAGGTGCAGGTTGTCATAGACATAGCCGTTAATACCTAGAACAGGCGTGGGGGGTCAGTGCTTTGGGCTCGCCTGGCACTAGCTCTGTGCTGGGACAATCACAAGGCAGGCCCTTGGATACGGACAGTCCCGCCTTTTCCTTCTGTCACAGACTCACAGAAGATGGCGCTTGGCACAGCCTGGAG